TCAGTGTCCACCAACGACCGACTGTAGTCACATGCTAGGGGTTGCGTAACTTCAATGCTTTCTGACAGTCTACCCGCTCTCCGCACGAGATCTGATTCAGTCGTTTCGGACACACCACAGAAATCAGTGTCCACGAACATCCACCCACCGGGAAACGTCTCGACATCCCGAACACCCTCACTACCGGGGATTAGCGCTGTAGATACGCGCTGATCGTCAGGAACGTCAGTAAAGAGAACAAAACGACGTCGGGGTCAACATCGAGAACTCCCTTTTCAAACCCCAATGCCGATCAGAGGGAGCTTCCGGGCTGCTGACACAAGAACTACGTTCTCGAACATCGTCTTCTCGGTGTTGTCGTGACGGTGGCGGTGGCGTGACACAATGGACGGATTGGACAGCCATTTTAAGACGATTCACAAGGAAACTGTACAACAAAAAAATCACGTCAACGTATGACGAGGTCAGGCAGGGAAATAAATAAGAGGGAGCAAACTCACATTTCAAATATTTATCACAAAACAATGGAACAACAACATTTGAATCCATATCGTTTTGTCGGACCGTGATGTGAGGCTCAAGTGGTATCTCAAGTTCGACTCCTCACCCACTCGTTCAGTGTGCAAGTGGTTTGGATATGTCCGAGTAAACTCGCACTTTTTCAGGCGAGAGTACAAATGCGAGCTGATTCGGACTTATTCAACGTAAAGTAAGAAATTAAGTTCATGGTCGGATGAAGACCAAACACAAGTGCGAGTCGGTTCGGAATTTTCCACTAAACAGTGAGAAATTTCAAGTGCCAAAAAATTTGCACTTCAGAGGAACATTTCGATTACGCCGTGCAATAAGAAATTGCCTTCGTGGTCGGTTCAGTGGCGAGTTAACTCGCAAATACAAAACGACTTCATTCTTTTAGGCCGAGAAGATACGCGAATTATCGACTAAAGAGGAACAAATTTAGGGGGATGGATGGTTGAAGAGCAAATAAATTCGCACTTGCAAACGAGCATTTCCATTATGAAACTGGGGCTTGTGGACTAAAAAGTCAAAAATTTGGGGGGATGGTTGGTTGAAGAGCGAATAAATTCGCACTTGTAGACGAACATTTCCACTATGAAACTGGGACTTTTGGACTGTAGAGTAAGAAATTTAGGGGGGTGGTTGATTGAAGAGCGAATAAATTTGCACTTGCAAACGGGCATTTTCATTACGAACTGGGGGCACAAGTGCGAGTTGATTCTGACCTATTGACTAAACAGTGACAAATTAAGGGGTTGGTTGGTTCAAGAGCGAATGAATTCGCACTTGTAAACGAGCATTTCCGTTACGAAACTGCGGGTACAAGTGCAAGTTGTTTCTGGCTTGTTCTGGGTGTAGTAGGAGCCACAGATCGTCGCAAGAGAGAAATAGGGAAAAATGGCGTGCTATTTTTTAAGATGGAGAAAGATTGCGAAGCGATGGGCAGACGGCGCGTCGATGAAAATACATGGAGAGAGATGGTGCACCGAATGAGAGCGATGGCACACCAAGAGAGACGGATGGAGTCAAAGTCTTCCCCCGATTTCTACGTCCGGTCATTACGGCTGGATTCGGGTCATCTTTCAGTCTAAAGACAGCTGTAATGAAAGTGCGTTGTATATTCCGAGGAAGAAGGTGGATGACGCAGGAAGGGAAAGAGATCGCGAACTGATTGGGAGGTGTGCCGCAGCGAGAGAGAGAGATTGCACACCGATAGAGAAACATGGCGCAGCAATGGAGATAGCAGGCGCAACGATGGTTAGCGATAGCACAGCAATGGAGAAAGATGGCGCACCGAAGCAGATAGATGACGATGGAGATAGATTAGAAAAGACAGCGCAGCGATGGAGATAGATGACGAAGGAGATAGATTAGGAAAGATAGTGCACCGAAGGAGATGGATAACGAAGGAGATAGATTAGGAAAGATACCGCAACGATGGGGATAGAAGACGAAAGGTCGGTAGAGATCGCGCATCAGTGGAGAGAGATGGAGAGAGGATGCGCAACAATGGTCAGCGATGCCGCAGCGATGGAGAGATAAGGCACAACGATGACCAAGATTTGTTATTGCACAACATCAGTTCCATCGAGTTAAACCTTCGCTAAGCATACCTGTCACCTGTTTCGTGTGATTCCATAGTGATGGGCTGCTGCACCAACGACGACCCGAAACAACAATACAATGGCGATGGCAGGATCTCGCACGAGTAATGGAGAGCCTCTGGGGCAAGGATGGAGGTTGCCAGGTTGTCGAGAGAGATCGCGCAGTGATGGAATGAGATAGAGAGTGATCACTCACCGATGGAAGGAGATCGTGCGACGATGGAGAGAGAAATCGCTCAGCGCTGCGGTGGGATAACACTGGCCAGGGCTTCGATAGCGATGGCCAGCGCTGCGGTGGAGAGCAATGGCGCACCGGTGGAGAGCGATGGCGCACCGGTGGAGAGCGATGGCGCGGCGATGGAACACGTTACAATGCAGCGATAGCGATAGCGATGGCAGCGATGGAACAGCGATAGCGATTGCACAACGATGGTGCACCGGTGGAGAGCGATGGCACACCGATGGCGCACCGGTGGAGAGCGATGGCGCAGCAATGGAACAGCGATAACGATTGCGCAGCGATGGGACAGCGATAGCGATTGCGCGGCGATGGAACAGGGATAGCGAACGCAGCGATAGCGATAGCGATGGCAGCGATAGCAATGGCGCACCGATTGAGAGATGGCACAGCGATGGAACCAACGTTGCGATGGCATCTATGGTACCAGCGTTGCGATGGCGCAGCGATGGCCAGCGCTGCGATGAGAGCGATGGCGATTGTCAACGCTGCAATGGTCAGGCGAGCACGACGACCGCGATGGGGGATATAGCTTTACGTCGCAATGGCGATGAGCTAAGCGCATCGATGGGGATGGTGCATGGCGAGCGTTGGCGATGGCGATGAGCTAAGCGCATCGATAACGATGGTGCATGGCTAAGCGCATCGATCCGTTGACATTTGCAAAATGTCCGAATGACAGCGACACCGGAACTTATAGATTTTCGGTGTTTTTGACCTCGACGCACAACGAATCGCCGCGCCTCGGCGGAAAATAAACCGTCGCCTGGCCTCGGCGCGCAACGAACCACCTTGGCGCACAACGAATCGCCGCACCTTATAGATTCTTGCGCCTTACCTCGTACGTCGGATCATGTCGATCACGGTCCAGATTACAACTGCGAAAATAACATTGCCTGCCCCTTGTTTTCGGGAACTGTCACATCATTGCACGCTGGAGGAGACGAAGATTTTGGGGCCACTGGCATAACAGTGGCTCCGTTCATCTGCGCAGTTGAAAATTGTTGATCGGCGGCTGACAATTTTCGGTACCCCGTACCGTTTATAGGCCCTGGCGTTTTATGGGCCCATGGGTGCGATACACGAATCGATTCGGCCTCACCTTGATGGCGTTTTATGGGCCCAGGGGTGCGATATGCGAATCGATTCGGCCCCACCTTGATCCCGTCGCGAGGCCTGCTGCAACAAAGTATAAAATGCGTTGCAGCCCTCGAGTTATCCCTTTTGTTGGCGCTGCACAGATCAAGTCGCGCTATCGCTTCCGTGCCTGTTCTGATATTTGGTCTTCTGCCCCCACCACCTTCCGCCATAGCCCTCTCACTCTTCGCTCTTCGCTCCGTCCACAGTTGCCACATTGTGTTCGGTTCGCTCTTCGCTCCTCGGTCTTCGGTCTTCCTAGCTCGATATCCCTTCACCATAGCTGGTTTGGTGGTTGGTTGCTCGCTCAACGCACGACGAAGGTAAAATCATATAACTTGAGTTGTCCTATTCTGTGTCCGACGTCCGAACACATTCCCAGATGCCCTTTCTGTACCTGAAGGATATAACCCCGCAGCCGCGTTCTGTTGAACCCCGAATCAATTCCTGTTTTTTTTGTTTTGCCTGTGGACGTGCTCTGATCTCTTTTCTCCACCCTCCACCTCCGTCCGCCACAGCCGATCCGCGTTTCGCAGATGGATTACCTTTCGCCATAGCCACGATAACGTTCGTATAAAGCTGCTTGATCCCCTTCGCAAGTTGCAGTCGTCGCTGCGCATGGCGAACCCCGAATCAATACCTAGTTGCTACACTGAACACCGAATCAATTCCCGATTTTCGCTCACCTGTCCCTTGTGAGGTCGCCGACCTGATATCTATATATATATATATAGATAGATACATATATGTATATATAGAGATATATTGCTACACTGAACACCGAATCAATTTCCGATTT